TGTGGCAGCGGGGTGTGGTGTGGGCGCTGGCTGCTGGAGTGAAGGGAGTGGCTCGGCCGGAGGCCAGACAGCTGATCGGAATCAGGTAATCAGTGCCGGAATAAAAGCATGTTGTAACCTGGTTCTGGTCTGTTTCGCAGTAGGCGGGATCCTGGAAGGTCGCCAAAGGACCTGTGAAGGTTCCCACCCGGGCAACGTTTGAGACCCGCGTATATTTTTGTTTGGAGTTAATAAACGCCTGTGTTCAACCAACCTGCTCTTTCCGTCCCTATTGTGTGTGTGTGTGTTTGTGTGTGTAGTGTGATTTGTGTGTGTGTGTGTGTGTGTGTGTGTGTGTGTGTGTGTGTGTGTGGCTGTTTGTGTGTGTGTGCGTGTGTTTGAGAGAGAGAGAGTGTGTGTGTGTGTGTGTGTGTGTGTGTGTGTGTGTGTGTGTGTGTGTGTGTGTGTGTGTGTGTGTGTGTGTGTGTGGGGCGGGGGGGCACAACTTCCAACAGGAGTCATTTGGGGGGGCTCTTGGGAAAAAAGGTTGGGAACCCCTGATTTAGATAATACTACAACATGTCTTTATATATTTGTGACTGTGTCTTGAACAGGTGAATGCCATTGTTGTGACCCAGTCACAGCGAAACAACGTGCCCAAACCCAGAAAGAGAGTCATTTTACTCGGTGTCTCCAGGAGCATATTTTACAGGGAATAAAACATTATCAGACTCAAAAGGTGAAAACAATACCAGCGTTGCTAACGAGGTTGATGGTTAAGTTAAAGTATATTCATGCAACTTATAAAAAACGTCTGTGGCAGCGGGGTGTGGTGTGGGCGCTGGCTGCTGGAGTGAAGGGAGGGGCTCGGCCGGAGGCCAGACAGCTGATCGGAATCAGGTAATCAGTGCCGGAATAAAAACATGTTGTAACCTGGTTCTGGCCTGTTTCGCAGTAGGCGGGATCCTGGAAGGTCGCCAAAGGACCTGTGAAGGTTCCCACCCGGGCAACGTTTGAGACCCGCGTACATTTTTGTTTGGAGTTAATAAACGCCTGTGTTCAACCAACCTGCTCTTTCCGTCCCTATTTGAACCCTGTATGAGCGGAGAGGCTCACAACGTCTTTCTCTTAATTAACCAGCAATAGCACAAGATCGAAAAATATATGCCTTCTGTGCTGCAGATCCATGCAAAGCAGGCTGCATAAACAGCAAGAAACATGTTAGGCATTGTGCACTGAGAGGCTGCAAAATTCCACTGGAACAATTCTGACTTCTGACTTTGGCTGGGAATTTCAGGGAATTTTTGTAAATTACAGAGGGCTAACTGTGTGAGTGTCTGCATGTAAGTCTCCCTGAGCAGCTGGAAGCTTGCACGGCAGCCTCTGCCTCTGTATGAATGTGTAAATGATGACCTGTATATATAAAAGCACTTTAAGGTGTCACAAAGACTGGAAAAGTCCTATATAAATACTGTCCATTTATCATAGATATCTTGTTCTATAATGCTGTCTTAGCTGATGTCTAGGCAATCAGTAAGCTGATATACTGTAGAGAGGTGATACCCCCAATTATCTTTAATTTTTCAAAATTAAAACATGCATAAACTGAGATTACAGAGCAATTATGAGCTGCCTGGATTTAAAGAGAAGCAGAAACCCAACCAACCCGAGGCTAACAGCACATCAGGAGCTGTCAGAGTGTCTCTTAAGGACCTCATATGTTGCCTGGCAGATAACAGCATCTATCCTCATGCAGCATATCAATGGATGTTCAAAAGTGCTGCTCTCAGGTTCCATGGAAGCGGCTGAAAGGCTTCAGAGGCTACACTTAAGCAAATCCACATGTTTGCTGAGTGCTTCACACAATGCATTTACTTTGCTACCAGTCACACTTTCACTGACACATTGCATTTCACTCCCTCGTCTTTCTGAATAGTACCAATTACCGAGCAGTGGAAAGAGAGGAGAGGGAGGAGAGCTCTTGTAGTGAGGGGGATGAAAAGACAAATCGCAGGATAAAGACCAAATGATTTGCACGCTCATTTGCATGTCGGTCATGCTTTGTGCCCATCTTTACTATTGGCCCTCAGATTTGGATGTATACTTCCAATGTGAAGCAGCTGTCATTATATCTGAGACATGAAATCCCAAAACTAATTGTAGCTGGTGTTTTCGTTCCCATAAGTCTTGCAGAGGGATCAATTTGTACGGCCATGCATCACATAAACTTGCAACTGGAGCTCTAAACTGGCTATGCCCATGAGTGCATACATGCATTTATGTGTGCTAGTTGGGGATGATGTCATACCTCTAAATTGTGAGACACCTTTAGTGGCTCACAGTCACATCACTGCGGGGAATCAGAGGCGCCGCTGGTCCTCCTGGTGTTCACATGTTATATCAAACCCCAGTTATTCTCTCATTATTCCTCATAAAACTTTAACAGTGCAGCAATTAAAGATTCTCTACCTGCAAAAATGTGTTTGGCTTTAAATGGCAGACAATAATGATGGAATAATTGCCAGTGCCAAGTATAGGTGAAAATCCATTGCATTTAACTGTAATTTAAGTGCAAAATGTGTTTGTTCTATGGCAGTTTATGGCAATTTATGTCAAAGAAGCTCTGGACATTCAACAATCGGGTATTTATTGACATATGTTATATGATTGAACAAAACGTGAACAAACGAGGGGTTACGTACTGTATGGTAACCCTTGTAAGCACAGGCGGATCCCTCTACTGGACTATAGGTACTCCCCTTGATCATATCATGCAAGCATTCATCCACTGAGACTTCTATAGACGTAGCCGGCCCCGGGGCGGGCCTACCTGAATGCACGCACATCTCACCGCATAAAAGAAGGTCTCGCCTCCTGACTGTCATCCCATACTTCTCTTCAGCGAGCAGCATAGGACAGACAGTTCCCCGATTAGAGGGCTCCGCCTGTGCTTATATAACAAGGGTTACCATACGTAACCCCTCGNGGCTGTTGTTGGGGCTGCATAAACGTTTTTTTATTTTTTGTTTTGTAGGCAGACCATGCAGGCCAGCCCAATGGTCACCAAGGTTCATGTTTTAATAGCATTTTTGCTATTAAAACATGAACCTTGGTGACCATTGGGCTGGCCTGCATGGTCTGCCTACAAAACAAAAAATAAAAAAACGTTTATGCAGCCCCAACAACAGCCTATGATCATCAACAGACTTTATGCAATGCTTCATTGGATACATGCATATATTAGATAATAATCTCTCTCTAACTCCTAACACATCTAAATCTACTTCCAACATGGATAAATGTTCATAAAAGATATCCATTGTTTGTTTTATATGCTTCTTGAAATCTAAAAGAAACACATTGTTTTTCTAGAACAGATTACAATCGGAAATGGCACAAACAAGTGGCAACGATGTGTGACGAAGGTGTTGCGATGGCTAGGCTATTTCATGCAATTGAAAGTGTAACTTAAGCTCGCTCCATTGCGGAGATATTCCCGCGAGAGTGCGGAAAACTTAAATAAATAAATGTATTTCAAATGTGAAATTTTAACAAAATACTCACGGACCACTAGGGGGCGCTCACGGACCACCAGTGGTCCGCGGACCACACTTTGAGAAGCACTGTAGTCGTCTGCTCTGCATGCTAAGACTTTCTATGAGGTGCTGGCCTTTTGCTTTGTTTCCGCCCGCGCCCTTCGGACAGCTTGTGTCCACTGCTGTATCAACATTGTTATTATGAGCAAGTTAGCATGCTAAGGTTGTCATGTAGCTCATGTACAGACTCTAACGGCCCGTCCACACCTTATACAGTCTATGGTCCACACACAGGCATGAAAAAAATCTTGAAAGATCTTGATTCTGGGCGTGTCTGAAGCTTGGCGATTTTTTACGAGCAACGCGACCAACAATGAATCTCCCGCCCCCGACATACAAAGCAATAACAATGTTAAAACGAAGTAAACTGGATATATAAACTCCCCAAACAGGCGAAAAACCTACCCGTTTCACCCACTGTCTCTGCCACCTCCCTCCATGCCTGGTTCCTCCGGTTTGTATCCCGGTAAATAGTTCTGGTCGTAAAGAACCGGATGATTTGCTACCGTAATTTCTCGTTTGGAATATGAGGAAATGAACTATGGTCTGGTTCTCTCAGTTTGCACGCAGTTTGATTGGCTAGCGCTTGCACTGGCGGGATTTGCATAAACGGGATTTGACTGGCTGATGCCAGCTTCGCAAGCATTGGAAGCATCAAAAGTTGAACATTGCTCAACTTTTTATGCTCACGATGCTCCGCTCCCCACAATGCAGTTCGGCGAAGATTAAAAATCTTCTACGTCACCCCATTCAAGTGAATGGGCGAGGCTTTGAAAGATTTTTTTCATGCCTGCCGTAGGCCCGTCCACAAGAATAGCCCTAGAGGCAGCTGTTGAAACGCTTGCATGCAATGTACATGTCTAACTGTGATTGTGATTGGCCTAAATAGACTGTATAGTGTACATATCCATGTGACTGGTGTAGTAATGAGTGTAATGGCACTAAAAGAGCATCTGGGCAGGTTACTGTCCTGGTGCCTGCTTCCTGCCGAGACTGCCTACTCTCTCTGTTGAATAATGTAACAAGTGGTGAGTGGTGTGGGTGGCACAGAGGGATGGCCTCTCCTCAAAATAGACTTCAGCGCAAAGGCAGAAGGCTTCAGAGAGAAGATAGCCACACAAATGTTGTTATAAAACAGATCTGACAGCAATGTCAATCTGCAGTTATTTATAAAAGCACTGCAGTTTGGGCAGAATCATTTAGGCTTATAATATTTCAAAAGACCAGTCATGGTCAAGAAAAATAAGTATGAGAGGCAATGGCTTTGCATCTGCGGGAAGTGGCATCAAGGAAATAGGTTTGAATGTGTGCTGAGGTGGTTGGGTTCATCCCTGGAGCATGTGAAACATATAGGAAGTACAGCCAGCTGTGACCCTGAGACAGGAGTGGTCCCTTCCTCACACCATGTCTCTCTGTGTGTTTGGTGTGTGTGCAACTTGAGCACAGAGAGCATCCTCGCTATTTCAACAGGGGAGTCATCCAAACTCCTTGGCAGGCAGCGTGTAGCACTTTGAGAGGATGGAGAGCGGGATAAATGGAGCAGAAGAGCTGGATTCCTGAGAGTAGATCCATTAAACAAAAATCAGGGGGGGCTGACCATTATGGGTGGCATGTGGTAGCTGATAAGAAATTCGTGGGCACGTGTTAAGAGTCGCCAGATTTCTGTGCATGCACTCAGCGGCAAGGCGCTCTGTGAGGCAGCGGACGGTGTACTACATGGAATCAATGTTGCGGAGGAGAAATCAATCAAACTGGGGCTAAAACACTGTTTTCAAGACAATCTGCCGTTTGGTGCTGCATTCTGGAACTCCTGACAGCGCTGGTCGGGTCATGGAGAAAGGACATTCATACCAATAATTTTCCAGCTGATGCCAAGGATGCCTTTTCCTCTTATGCTCTCCAGCAATGCGCCCCAGTGGACTCCAAACTTTAGTACGATGGAATCAACTCTTAATCGCAACAGTGGCTGCAATGCTTTTGGGACCTCGTTTAGTTTTGTGTCTTTTCCGAGTCTTAGAATGTCTAAAGAACACTGCAGTGTGGGATGTGAATGATAGTTATTATAAATTAATAAAGAAGAGGTTGGTTGGTTGAGGCGAACTCTCTCGGCTCATCCTCTTTACTTTTATCTTGTGAACATTTTTGCGACGGCTCCTATGGGAATTAAGCACTCGTCCCGCTGTATGCTCCTCAGGAGAAAAATGGCGGAGTCTGAGAGCATTGAGGTAAGTGTGAGATACACCATTGATTTTCAGAGGAAACACGTGAGTGCTCGTTCAGAGCCCTAAACGTGTCACATCATATTAAGCCATTTAGTAGAAGTTGCACCACTGACAAAATGCAGATACTGACAGGGAGATTGCAGTCTGAGGGACCCCTGCATTACACCCCTGCATTAATTTAATATTCATTTTGTGCAGTGAGTGTTTCCAACATCGAGCACATTTGGTTTCACTTTAAATTATAGTAGGCTACAGCGATCAAATTGTTCCAAGGAAAATCTTATTTTACAACAACTTGCCCAGTCTGTTCAGCGTCGTAAAACATCTATATATTGTGTCATCTATTTGCGTAAAAACACCCCGTTTTAATAAGGAATATGCTGTGAGCATGGTGATGTTTAACGGGACAGAATGTGCTGCTGCTTCAGACAACTTGCGCTGTCCAAGGTACTGCAGCACCTTGCAGAGGAAGAGGAGAGCGCCGATGTGAGGAGCAGTTTGTGGAGAAAAGTACGGTGAGCTAAAGACGTATTGGTTCAGCAGCCTATGAGTCCACATTATTGGTTCCACGTAACACCTCCTAAAGGGATCCAAACGGGGATAGTTCGGTACATTTAGATAGAAATCGACGGATTCTAACTGGACCAATCGATAACTCAAAAACAAAAACATCCTAAAAATCACAAACGATGTCTCTTAACGACCGTTTAATGTAGTAACAAAACTAAACAATTGGTAACAAAATAAGTCAATTTGCACCGTCATCCGAGCTGTGCAACTTAAACCACAACCTGCAGCCACAGGAGACGCGCAGGGACCGTCTACAAAGTGTAGGCTGAGTCTATCTCTCTCGCGGGCACTGAGTCACAGTTCCTTCCAATTTTAAAATTAAAATGTCCCTCAACTGTGATGAAAGGCGGCTCTGCGTCACTGCAAAGCTTCTATATAAATGTTGTTGTGTCCACGGAATACAAGTTTACCAAGATGTAATATTCAAAGCTCCCTGAATGGGAACTTTGATCAAAAATGGATGTGGGCCTCCCCTTTGTGAAATAACTTTGAAGCACTACACTGAATAATAGTAGAGGTATTAAATATTTTAGACAAGGAAAAATAAGCACAACATCTTTAAAGGCATATTTCTTCCAAACAAGTATTTCAATATAACCATATGAGGCCATTAATGTGTGAAGTTATTTTGGTATATGTATGACAGGGAAGTTTTTGAAAACATGTTCTAATTTGTATTATTGTACTTTGTAGACAGTCCCTGCGCACTTCTCTTTCCTCCTGCTGCAGGTTGATACCAATGCTTAGCGTGTATTGGCTTGTTTTGACAAAAATTAGGTTGTAGCCCATTGTCTACATTACTACAATTGTAAAGAGACGTTGTGTGTGTTTTAACAACCATTTGTTTATGAGACATTGATTTGTCAATTTCAAATCCGACAATTTCTAACCTCACCAATCTAACAGGGATTCCTTTGATGCAGGGAATAGTTAAAGTCTATCAATTGCCCCACCTTCCAAATGTACATTATACACCTTTGATTGAAATAATAATCTACTGCGTTTTTTGTATTTATTTATTTTTTAATTCAGAGCAGCACAACATGAGCCCAATATTTTATTGAGTGCAGTGCCACATCGGTATTCACAATGCATTTTATTGAGTGCAGTGCCACATCGGTATTCACAATGCAATTAAGCAGTGCTGATAAGTCATGCATTAAAGATTCACCCTGAGAAGCCTCATGTTGCAACATAGCTCATAAAAAGGAAAAGTTACTCCAAATCAAGTTTATTAGTAGAAGCAATCGCAAAACTCTTATTTTATCGATGAAGTCAGCAGGAACTGCATTAATTTTGCTCCTCTGTGTTGTTTTGGAAAGTTAGATTTTTCAGAGGCACCTAAGTGCCATAATGGGAGAAGACCAAAGTGATTCTCTTTCCTCATGATACTGATTTCCCTCAACCTTATAGCAGGAAAAAGCTTTTCCTGTATCTGATACCTTTTTGCGGATATGAATTCCATTGAGTTTTACTGCATTATCCTCCTACTGAGATTTTAACAGAGGTGTAACACAAATGTACAGAAGTGCCTATGTGTCCCCGCAGAAGTGCCAAGTCAGTCCTTCTCTTACAACAATCCTATCCTCCATGAAGGCCCGAGGATAAAGTCGGAAATACAACCCTAAATGTGTTTATCTGTCTGGGGGCGTGGGGGCAGAGTCAAGGTCGTATGGCACTCTCTCCTTCCTCTGTCAGGGGGCATCTCAGTTACACTCACTGCAGCTGCTCCATTCTGACCGCACTGCACCCCCTGTCAACTTTAATCTCTGCGCTAAATGACGATTTTCCTGATTTGCAACTTTGAAAGGGATCCCACAATTCTGTATTAAACTTGGCAGCTTTAATCGCCGCCTCTGTGGCCCGCCTTGTAATTATTGACTCTTTAAGTGAGGGCTTGGAGCCAGCTGTTCATCAAATCCTTATTTTTTTGCTTTCGCTGGTGTAATTTATTTGTAGAAGATGCCAAGATTTCATTTGCAGTGGAAGGCGTGAAAGAACTGAGCTTCAAGGTGAATGACTATAAAGTATAATATACGGTTGCTGACAGATGCCAGCACGTTACAACGGCCCACAACATTTCCATTAGGAGAAGAACGCTGAAGTTACAAAAACGATGCAATAAAAACAACTGTGCGAAAACACATGCAAATGAACAAACATCTTCACTATCTTGAAAACACATGCGCAGCATTTCGAAAACATTCACCAACTTGAGGAAACATGCGCAGCGTTAACGAAAAGTGGTGCATAAACACAACTCTGCAAGAAGCTAACAAACACAATGAAACAGGGACACTAAAAAGTGAAGTTGCAGTTAAGGCTCCTTGATTATTTCAATTATAACCACGTCTCAAGAATATTAGCCTCAGAAATAGTAGGTTAATATGCTGCGCAGCACTGAAGTGCACCCTCTTCAGATCAACATCATGGCTTTAAGGATTAGGAGAAGTTGGTATTTTCCTTTTTAATAAGGGAAATGCAAGAAGTTTTTTGAAATGTAAAGACACCTTAATGGTAATATCATTTTTATAACTTCAAATCCTTTAAAGCCAAGGAGAAGGCAGCAGTGCAATTATCATTACTTTAGGGATGGAGAGGGGAGTAATGGAAAATACTTTGTTCCTACAGTATATAAAATGTAAGCGAAATAACTATTTAATATGCAACTTTTTTGCTTTCCGGAGATTAAAGATTAAATATGGTGATGTATAACTAAAGCATCCCTCCCATACACCTATTTTCGTTCACGGCGCAATAATTTACCATTTATTATTAGAAGGCTGAAAGTTGGAACGAGAACAAACACAATAATCGGCTTATTGGCACATAACAGAGAAACTGGGAGTCTGTTTCTCCACCTCCCTCACATTGTGTCTTACTCCCAAACTAACACACACACACACACACACACACACACACACACACACACACACACACACACACACACACACACACACACACACACACACACACACACACACACACACACACACACACACACACACACACACACCCTGTGGCTAGACCTTTCCAGCTGGCCTGAGAGGTGATAATCAGCGCATTATGGGTGGACCGTCTGTGCAGAGCAGAGCTTTCTTGCCATCCCTCCTGCCTTCTGTTCACAGACTTCATGTCAGTATCAAAGTATTCTCCAGACTCAATGAACTCTCTGGACTCTGTGAAACCACCAGACGGATTCTTGTAACAGTAGACTGACAGTTGAGCTAAGTGGGAAATAGCATATGAAATGGATAAAGATTAGGGCATGAATGCAAATCGCACCTTGATGTTACCTCCACATTTTGTGTCTTACTCGTAAAGTGATTTGGATAACTAGACCTTAGAGTTCTTGGCCTCAATGAACAATTGTTCCTCTCTTTCTCTCTGTTTCTAGCAGCCACAGCCGCAGCCACGGCCGATCCGCATAATTCAGTCCCAGTCGGCGCAGCCCACCTCATTGCCCAAGCCGGTGCCTTCCATCCAACATGCCTCGCGGCCTCCTCTGCCGCCACACACACCGCATGTGGCCAGCCTGGCCGCCCCTCCTGGGCGGGGGAAGATTTCCAAGTTCCTTAGCCCAGAGGAGATGACCTCACGAGACTACTACTTTGACTCTTACGCCCACTTTGGTATACATGAGGTATGTCATATTGCAGTGAGAATCACTCTTCTGTCTTGTTCCTGTCTGTTTCTTGTCAGGGTTTATTTTATACTTTGTAACATGAAGGAGCGGAATTTTTTCATCAAATAGTGTCAGCAACTAAAGTCCAGAATGAACTGCACTTAAAATAATTGCTATGTACACTTAACTCTTTGGGTTTCCACAATAGAAATCAATAAAAAGAAAAAGAAAGACTACTTAAGACTACTAAAGATAGTTTGTACTGGACCCTATGGAATATGCATTTTTATTCATCAGATGATAGTTATACCAGCAGCTCCACATGTACGTACAGCGGCAAACTTAGGGAATAGTCTTTCATTCTCACAGTGACGTAATATTACATCTTAATTCTGTCATTTTGCAAATTGTTCAACTTGCAGAAGACATTGTTGTTATAGTAAATGTCAAATATAATTCAGAGAACACAGTGAAGTAATTGCTCCATTATTTTAAACCTGAGTGTAAACATATTTAAGTTCGAAGATGCATTGAATAAAAATAAAACCAAGAAATATCCCTGCAAGATCTATTTAAACGGTAAGATAATATAATTTTACCTCAGACTTCTTATTTGATGTCTTGTGTTTTTTTCTATTTACCTATTAGACAGCTGCCTTTGCCTTTAGATCTCAGTCATGAATAAAATGTCAACCATTAGGAATTGAGCCTGAATTGCAAATGAAACTCGTAATTTGTGATGTCATTTTCACCAAAAAGAGCTCTAGTGTACATTATTAATTCGGTTTGAAAATAGAACAAAATGAGGCAAAAAGCTCAAATCTGCACAGCAACTTTAAAAGGCCAGACTAAAGCCTTGATCTAACTCCAGGGTAGATGACAAAAACTAGATCATGCAGACCCTCATGGCTACGCAGGGACCATGAATCGGTCTTTGATTCCCGCTGACGTTGGTCTCTGTGTTTTTATTTGTCTTCACTTCTTTTTCTCTTTTAGACCTAATTATTTCAGACTCCTCTATTATTAGTTGGAAATGCACCATAATGATGATCTTGTGTGACACTTTTTGTGAACTCCCAGCCTCCTCATGCTCTAGACTACACAAACAACCTATAATAGCTTAAATCTTTATGTCGTAGACAGTTAGAACCATGGGTGGGGTTATGGTCAACCAATCCTATCAAAGGACATGAGATCTAATATAATAACATAGACGTTCCTATATGACCTGTGAGATTAATCTTTTATATTTCTGGGTAGAAGCTCAGGGGTCGTTTTATTTTGTCGTTTCCTCACACTCACGCATGCATGCATTCAGACAAAGAATGAATGCTCATGGGGTTTATTGGAAAATCAACCCTGGATTTGAATATAGAACCATAGGGCTGAGAAAATATATAGAGTTTGATTATGTGTGTTATTTTCCACCGCTCCTCTGCAGATATCCCGGCAAATCCAGCCCCATGTTGTCCAGCCAATGTTGTTAATTCACAAAATAAATTGTCCCTCTCCTCAGGGGTTAGCTGTGTCCACATCTTCCTGAAATGATTTCTCATATGCTAAACCAGGAGATGCTGAAGGACGAAGTGAGGACGCTGACCTACAGGAACGCCATGTACCACAACAAGCACGCCTTCAAGGACAAAATCGTTCTGGATGTTGGAAGCGGGACTGGGATCCTGTCCATGTTCGCGGCCAAAGCAGGGGCAAAGCACGTGTATGGGGTAAGACGTGTTTCCTTTCAGCAGAGCGTTATCATGCTGGGCCTGACAAGCTGCTCACACTGTGTGCACGTACTGTATCTGTATGACAGGCTCTCAGCACATACATGTTACCGCATTTTCGTCAGGCTCCCTTTTATCTTCGTGAAAGATTTCGTGTGACAGGTAGATGATAAAACGGTGTGGCCTCTCCGGCAGGCTGACAGGATTAGCTTTAGCGTTTTAAGAGCTCTTTCTGTTTATCGATTAATGGAGTAGAATGAATTGCTAGTCAGGGCATGTCTGAGGATACATGCTGGATACCCTCCGCCGGTTTGAGATAACAATGTAGAACTTCATTTCTTTCTTCAGGACAACACTGTATTTGCTCTCAGGGGAGGAATGGTTTACTTGGAAATGTCAAGAGATATCATGTGTTAGCCTTGGCCTCGCTTCCCAAATTTGGATTCCTTGCTTATTTGGCTGTTTTGTAAGTTCTTCAGTGGTTTTCAACCTTGGGGAGAAATGTGGAATAGTTTATTTTCCCTTCTTAATTCACTGTAGAGGTGAGTCCAATGTGTGTAAGAGAGATATTAGAGACTATTTTGATAATAGGTTTCACTTGGCCAACGGTTATCTCCTCAACTGTAGTTGACAACTAGAGATTTCTGTTATTAATCATACCAAATTATTCTCAGATGTAGGTCCCTGGAGCAAAATCTTTTCAAATGGGGGTCTGTGACCTAATGTGTATCAAATTCTTTGTAGTTAAACCTGAAATACCACTTCAGTTTGTGCTTAATCTCACATTTGCGATGCTTCTGTCCATCTGGAAAGGATATTTCTACATAAATGGGGCTAAGATATCTGGGATTTATTTGACCTTCGGCTTAGATGCTCTTAGTTTGAGGTCTGCACCGATGCCCGATACCTTTATCAGACCTAAAGCTTATAAAGCTCCATGTGAAAGATGGGCTTGTGAGGTGGAAGTACTGGGCTATGGGCCAATAATAGCATCACTCTGCCATATGGGCCTTGTTACAATAAAAATGAAAAGTGATAACCTCTCTGGCTCCATATACTGTAAGACATAAAAGACTCTTTCATGCTGAGGACCATATGTATCATAGAGCCATATAGTCATAATACACTGGTTCCACATTCATTCAAATGTATTGTAATACACATCAAATAAACAACCGTTGTTTGTACATTTATTTTTGCTTGAATTTGTATCTCCCCGACAACATTTTTGAAAATACAAAAAGATGGCTCTCTGGCTCCATCTGCATTTCTATTTCATTCCGATGAAATTTAGGCCTTCAGGCGTTTTTTTAAGATCAACAACCATTTCCAGCCTAAAAAAGATTATTGATTTTGAAGCAAGCCTGAGGGCTTTGAATAGATGAAGGAGTGTGAAACCTTTTCTCCTACTTTTATGTTTACTAACAGCACTTCATTACAATCCTTGGTTAGCAATACTTTCGTAGTATTTTAAAACTTTTAAAAAACAGCGGTAACATTGACTAGTTGTATACAATGGTGGCTCAACTAATTACTGACTTAATGTGACTCACAACTCAAACACGTGCATGACACCTGAGCAGAATAAGATACCTGTTGTGTCTTCAGACAGAAGGGCTAGCAGAAGTCCACCGTGACGAGCTGAGTGACATTGACTCTTCATGACACTGGTTTGAGGTGCAAGATGCCCTGCTTGAGTGTGTGTTGAATCTAAATGTGACCTCGAGGCTGCAACTGGAGCGGAGCGTGATGGACAGAGGGCTAATGGCTGTCTGTTCTCGCAGAGTTCACTGAGAGAGTGGAGGAATCATGGCCAATTAGAGGGCTGACGCTTGTATGTCTGCGAGGGCTCAGGCTTACATAAACCTAGTGCAACATTAGGCATTGTTGACACAGCCTGGTGTTAATGGGCAGGAGACAGACAGAAGGCTTTGTGCGCCCCAAGCAGCCTCCTGACCGCTGCTCCACTAACAAGCAGCAGAGAATAGGGCTTCTCCAGGGAGGCAGTGCTAATGTCAAGTCCCTGCACCCTGTATGCATGCTCAGCAGGGAAGCTGGTGACCTCAGCTAGGATGCAGATGCCAGAATATCATGTCAGTGTGTATGGCAAACTGCATATGGAACTGTCATTATTGGGATATTCTTTGATATTACACTATATTTAGCTGACACTTTTATTCAAAGCAGCTTATATTTAGTGCAAAAAACCAAGAAGATACAAATTCAAGAAACAGCCAGAAACTGAGACATACAGTATTAGCCAGACAAGCAGAGATGTGTGCGTCAGGGGCGGCACCAGGGGGGAGCTAGGGGATGCTGAAGCACCCCCCAGGATTGCCAAAGCACCCCCTAAGCACCCCCAATAAATATGTTTTTTTTTTTTTCGAGAATTATTATTATTTTTTTAATTAAATTAAATTAGAAAAGTTATTGATTACATCAATGCAAATGTGAAACAAACAAATGTTTGACCAAAAACATAAAGCCAACACAGGTGATTAGGCCAATGGCCAGCACCCATTAGATTTTTGACCTACCCATAGGCTAAATTACTTTGTGACACTTGAGTGACTTCCTGTTAGCTGGAGCGCCAAATTATTTGCTAACAGCAAAGTGACAAATGGATCGTTTTTTAGTCCTTAAACGTCCACGTGTGGACATTCAATCAAAACCACCTGAAAGCGAGAGGGATTCTGCACATAATAGGCCTCGTGAGTACAAGTAGCTTACTTCTGGCTCTCTGTGTTTCATTCAAGCTCTGCTCTGTGTGTGTGTGGCACGAGCCATTTTGTGTGCGCGCGCGAGCACCGGTGGGTCTCTACCGGAGATCGTTGTGGTTAGCATCTGGTGCTAGCTAGCCAAGCTAACGGATATAAGGAGCTTTTTCAACAACAAAGTGGAGGGAGAACTCTCTCCTGTCACACTGAGAGTCTCAGATAACCTCAGCTTAGGTGAAGTAAAGGACTCTCAGTGTTTAGATAGTTAACTTTAGTCTAGTTATCTTAGTGGGTCTCAAACGGTTTGTTTTAAAAGGGGAGTGATTTGTAAAATATCTATAAAGAAATAGTAAATCTGTTTACAGTTCTGTTTCATATGTATGTTGAGAGATGTATCCATAGATCTCTTCATTTTGCTCTCAAAGTGCACCAGATTGATGCTTTTAANGTGTGCTTGCTTCGGCTGGTGAGAAGGTCTGAATGTTGGGTGAGCTAGTGGTGCCAGTCTCAAAAGTTTTGAAACAAATCTCACTGAACTTCTCGTTGATTTTTATTTCTTCATAGCAAAACGTCTGCTGCATGTATGCCAAAAACGTACACCTCTGTCAGACATGTTGTTTAATGTTTTAATCCTCCTCTGGTGCTCACATAGTAACTGAATGATTTGCTGCTTGATGCTGTCTTTAAAATGGCCATCACTATTCTCGTCGCTAGTGTCATAATTGAAAAAAATGTCGTCGTCATGTCACACAATAAGTTCTGGAACAACTATTCTTTGTGTGACATGAACTCGCGGAAGCGCACACTAACTCTCCTGCAGCATCTCCCCACCCAAGTATCTTTGCACTTCGGTACTAAACCTTTCCGCAGTAGCTTTTCAAGATGTTAATCCGTTTGACCTGTCGACAAAACTGCAGTTTGACCTCGAATCTTTTATGAATACATGTCGCTGTGATAGATCCCCTTGCCTTGATTATGATGTTCAACAGTTCAGTCACTTCAGTTAAAAACCGATCCCATTTCCACTCCGGGTCAGGTCAGCTCCCACCGTTCACCTTTAGACTGGAGAAGTGTTGATTCGGCCAGCACGAACGGCGCATACTTTGCCTCGACTAACCACCGGATTTCGTGTATACAGCACATCCTGGTGAGCCAGGACCCCAGCTCGAGAGAAAAGGCCTGGAAACTTGCCTGTGTTTCAGCCCATTTTTCCGAGATGTAAGTTGACACGGGCAACAACACCTTCATCACAGACGCCCACTTTCAAAACTTTTGCAGCCACAGCGTTGCTGGTTGGTATCAGGCAGTGGACTTGAATCGTGGTCTGGGGCTGAGACCTCGTTTCCTCGAACTCGCCGTTCAAGCGCCGCTACTAGGACCCCTCGTATATCCGACCGATGCTGGGCATCCATCTGCTGTGACACTGGCAAAATTAGCCCATTGCACCAAGTTCGGCCCTATTGTTTTGCACACTTCGACAAAAAGGTACTTCATCCAGTTGTTGTGCCTTTTAGGCTTCTCAGTGATGGCCCAGCTCCTCTGATCACTTCAAAACGTGTGTTGACTCCACGAAAAAAATCAACAGTTGTGCCGTGTCCTGTACGTCATTACTTTCATCCATGGCTTAAAGCAAAACACTGAATTCTGCGGCTCTCTCTCTCAGTTGGTCAAACGTTTCCCCCCATCTCCTCAATTCGTCTCGTCATCGTTTTGCTGAGAGACTCACCCCACGGAAGGACCATCTGTCTTCTCGGCACACCTCCTCGGCCACAGCCAGCATCATAGGCACTGTCCAATTCTCCGTCTGTGAACGGGCTGTGCCTGTGGGTAGCAGTAGGTTATACTTTGTAGCTAGCCGGACAGCAGCCCAGGTTTGACCCGGGATTGACGAAGGAGGCATCCTGTTGAACAGCTAGTCGCCTTTCAAGACGGCCGAACCTTATCATCTCTCGCTAGCCCGCTCCAAAGCTAGCATACTCCTCTGTGCCGGGTTTCGTGAATGGCGGCGAAGGTTGAATTCTTTTAAACACGGCCACATTTTTTTTACATAATAATACAAATGGTCACGCGGTCCTTCATGGAACAAAAAATAAATCCTTTGGGTCCATTGTCATTTTAAAAACCGAACACTCTCTGTCAATTTATCCTCACTTTACTGCACGCCATTACCACTGCTGTTTCACACTGTAAGCATAATATTTTTCTGCGCATGACTGTCGGATTCAGTCTTGTAAGTGGTGGCGGAATCGGGTCATAAACATAACGTCATTATAAATAATACAG